AGGGAAAGACATGTAATCTATGAGCATTACATGTCAATTCCTTATTGTGGAACTAAACATGTGAACATTTACCTAAATTTATGTTGGCTGATATTTCAGATTTTCTATGTGATTTTAGACAATCCAACTTGAATATAAACGCGTACTAAGTCTCACAGCATAAGTTCTTTAGAAACTGTCACAAATTCACAATTCACCAAGGACACCACATGTGTTGCGTTCTCCATAAGCCTAGAAACTAAAAATGTAACACCATCCTCCTTTCATGGTGTCTTTTACAGATTCCCCCATTCGATAGTGCTAAGGCATTGCCATGACTGTTATTTGATAACACTGATTTAGAGTAGTACAGTGTGAACTTTCCTTCAGAAGTTGTGTTTTATTTGTTTCTTGTTGGAGTTTCTGTGATCCGTGGACATGTCTTTTTAGTATTGTAGCTGTCTGCTGCCATTCACACATGTTATGTATTTAGAGAGAGGAGTTTCTTTCCTTAGCATATGATAGAAGTTGTAAAATTGGGTTTTGTGGTTCTATCTGTAAATCAAAGCAATCATTTCTGGCTACTCGTGTTTTTAATTTTACCAAATGGATACTTTTTTGTAATTTGGTATGTGGCTTTTTTCTTGTCTATTTTTTTTTCTATAATCATTCTGATGAAGCTTTTTCAAGCACTAACACTAACTGGCTTTTTCTTCCTTTATCTTCTCTCCCCCATCTTTTGATGTCATCTTCTATAGTTTTGGAGGGACCAAGGAAGGTGACACCAGATGTCTTGAGCTCCTCAACTGGTTTGGAAGGTGCTATATGAATCTCTGACTCAATATTTTCCTCCTAGCTGTAAATTGCTAAAACTGCCGGTGTTAGTCATGCTATGTTGGAATGAATATCTATGCTGCTGAAAAACGGTTGTACTATATAATTTTCCGTTCCTTCTTCTGTGCAGTGACTAAACTTGCTCCCAAGAAGTGGGGTTTCTCAGATGGTTCAAGCCTTGTTTTGGTTGCTTTTCTTGGTGGGGTGTCCTATCTTATATCGCAAGGAATTGACCTCAGGCCTAACCTCACAGTAATATTAGGTCTAGCCACCGTTGATGCTATATTTCTGGGTGGTACCTGTTTAGCTCAAATCTCAAGTTACTGGCCACCATTTAGGCGTCGAATTCTTGTTCATGAAGCAGGACATCTGCTAACAGGTAAATCTCATTGTTTATTTTAATGGATTATATAAAGGTCGCACATGGGGGATAAGCATTTTGGATCATGTTAGTTTGATTAATTGATTACCCCTCACTGTGTGCTGCCATATATTACATCTTACATGGTCCATCCTAATGAGATTTCAGCTTATCTGATGGGTTGCCCAATCCGGGGGGTGATTTTAGACCCAATAGTTGCAATGCAAATGGGCATTCAAGGACAGGTATTCTTTATTTTATTTTTTTAATTCATGATATGATACTATTGTTTCAGATGGTTGCTATTGGTAGTCTCCTAATATATTATTTCTATTTGACTTTTTGATCATTCTTGCATTTGTTATTTTGGGTGAGATTGAGATACTTGGTATTATTATTGAGTAATTATCTCTGTTTTCTGTACACCTCTGTCTGCCAGTCTGCCCCCTTTTCTATCTCCAGATCCCCCTCCTATGTATTCCTTCTCCCTCATACTGCTCTGTTCATCCTTCGTCACTTTGATGACAAAAGCCTCATCTACCTTCATTATTCTTTGAGATGTAATAAAACACCAAGTCAAACACTATATGATGCAAAAGAGATACTTTTGTGCAAGGTCTGTTTACTGGTCTACTAATAGCCCTCTTTTTAATGTTTACAAAATATAAAATTGATGATAATGATACTTATTCTCCCCAAAACAATAGCGTAATTATTCTCCCTTTGATCTTTAGCCCAAGAATGGAGCTTTGATCTGAAGTTCTAAGATGCAATTATGGTTTTGAGAAAATCTACCCTCTAATGCGTACACTATTATCTTTTATATCATTGATCTTTCCTTCTCTTTTCTTGATCTACTGCCTGTAATGGGGCTTGTGCTCTGCTTGCTACTCACATCTTGCACGGTGAGTGGCTATTCATGCACCATATTAACTGCAAGCAATATAGCTCTAAATTGGGGGTCTTTTTCTTAGCTCACTTAGGTGAAGGTCATTGAACTGGACCAGCCCAATCCTCTCAGAGGGAGAACAATACTTTTGCGAGTTCTTTCATGGCACAATATTTGAAGATTTTCCTATAATTTTTGTCACTGGTGTCTGCATTTCTATATTGAACCCTGCATCTTTTATGGTTTTACCTTTCAATCCTTCACCGCAGAGTACAATTGTTTGTGTGCTGAATATGACAATATTTTCATTCATCAATTCACTAATACCAATATTAGTATATCTTCTGTTGATTCTTGAAAATTGACTGCACTGAAACACTGATTAATTCATAGATGAGTTCAATGATCAAGCTGCAGTGTGATGTCATCAATTATGGATTATTTGTATTTGTTGACACTTGTATACTTACAAGTACAACTCTAGATTTCATTTCTTGTTCTTCTACTTTAATATTTATTATGATTCCTTATTTACTTGGAGTAAATAAGAAATCCTCAATCTTTAAGTTTTTCCTTTCAAGTATTTAACATCATTTTACTTGCAGTAAATCCTTATTTTTTAGGCAGGGACTCAGTTTTGGGATGAGAAACTTGCCAATGACCTTGCAGAAGGCCGACTTGATGGTACATCTTTTGACAGGTGTGTATATCATTATAGTTATAGTTATAACTTAGAAAGTTTTAGGGATTATGAGAATGAATCTTCTGAATAGCTTAATTGAGATACTCAGCTGATCTGGTATTAATTTACACTCGCAATTTTTGTGTTTACAAGTATGATTCTATTTTCCAAGTACATGCATGGACATGGTATATTCTAGGTACAAGAATAGCCATGTACACGAATATGAAAATTAATTGCTACAAATTCCAATAGACGAATTCCAACAAATTTAGAACCACACGGCTAATTTAGAACCACCATCCTCACACCTGACACCACTTCCCCTCCAAATAAGACCATTCCTTTGGCTTTTTTAGGTCCAACTGCAATATGTGGGCCTTCACATGTTAAGTGTTTGCTTTTTTTTGTAGCACCACAAAACATCATTTCCAAACACTTAGGGCTTATCGAACACAGATAAGAGAAACCCTCTCTAAGTTCCCATACCACATGGTTTAGTCATGGTTCATGGACCTGTATCAGCATTATTGTGTTGTATGAAACTTTTTTTCTGCCCTAGTGTTAGTTTCATTTAATGAAAATATGTAGCGAGAAAATGTAAGATGTGTTTGGTTTGTTTTCTTTTTTATTTTGAGTTGATATATCATAAAAAGTCATCACAGTATTTTTATTTGACTTTCTACTTCATTTTCTCACCCTTCATCACTAAAGCCCATTCCTTTGCCTCACTTTGTTGGGTTTGGCCCTTGAGTGTTTTGAGAGAATCAACTTCAGGGGTTGGGACCTGATCCCTTAGGAAAAAAGTTGACTAATGCTCCTGGGTGGATTTTCACTTCGTGAAAACCAACCCTATTTTTGTTCCAAATGTAAGATTGCTCTCAGGAAGACTTTTTCTTAGCGAAACCCAAATTGCAGAGCGAATGATTGTTGTGTTTTGCATCAAAAAGAAGAAAAACTCACTGGAAAAAATTGGTTAGTGAAAATAGCAAAGAGCTCTCTGTTTGCTGAAGTGAAATTAATGAAACTTTAACTACAACCACCAAGTGCTGAAAATACTATTTTACTAGTTAGCTCCAAGTAACAAGCCTTTCTTCTTGTCCTTCCATGGATTGCATCAAATTGAACCTTTTAGGTAATTCTTCTTCAATCTTCCAGCTCCTTGCTCTAGTTAGAGGTCCTCTAGCAAGTTTTCTTCAAGTTATTCTTTTTCCTCTTCCTCGGTCATCTCGGATAGCCTTCTATTCGTTAGTTTTGTATCAAAAACTGCAGGATGACAGTTATACGTATAAAATAACTGCTGTTAGATATGTTTTAGAAATATAAATCTCATAGTAGGTTGTACAATTAGAAGGGGGAAGTTATTTTCTGTTTGTGGACAGAGAATACTCTCTGTAGGAGACTTCTATTGCTGGGACAGCAAGTGTAGTGCTGTATTGTGTGTGATTTGTGTGAATTGTCCTTTATTACTTTTATCAATTGGTGTTCTATCAGTTTTGTTCTGTCCAAACCTTCATCTTCTGTTATGTTTTCCTGCTGCCTTTCATCATCAGCTTCTCCCTTCACTCAACTGGTTCTTGGCTCTCCTCTTGAATCCGGAGATCTTGACAAATTCAGGTTGGATCTGCACAGCCTTCTCAAAGGTCTACCATGTTGCATTCTGATTGCTCTCCTTCTAGGAAACCTACCATTTGAGAGCTTCTCTTATTGCAAATGCACCAACCCATGATAATTTCATCTCTTCAGGTACTCTATTGTCCCCAAATACTGCTCTGCATTGATCAGCCACCAATAGCCCTCCCTTCCATCAAATGTTGGAATCATTTTCATTTTTCACGAACAGTTCCCCCACAACTTTGAGATTAGAGCTCTAATACCAGTTCATAGAAAGTGGCTCAAAATAATAGAAAGAAAAGCTTATATCAACTGAAGAGTACAAATGATTCCCAGGACTTTTGATAGGCCCGGACTCTCCCACAAAACTATAAATTAACACTTAGTCACATGACCAAATTCCTCTCAATCCCTCTTCCCATTTATACACATCATGACCTACATGATTCACTAAGTGACCCACTAATTGACTAACTAAACCCTAACTAACCTATCATAACTAGTCTTTACATACAGTGGCAAAGATTACAATTTGGTATTTGCAAGGGTGATTCTAGTTCCTTAGTACATGCATGGTATATTCTATGTACAGGAATAGCTTTGTACATGAATTTGAAAATTTATTGGTACAAATTCCAATTTCCAATAGGCATTTAACTACTAATTCCAACAGAGATATATGTTATGTCACGAACTGATAGAAGAGTTATTTGTATGATTTAATGGTGCACTGGTAAGGGTGGATTTACTATGTGATTGATGTTTAGTGGAAATCAGTCAATGAATTTGAGCTCAATCTGGCCTAACACTTTAGTATTAAAGTTCTCTTTGCCTTTAAATTCAGAAAACACACATTCCCATTTATCCTTACTCTGGCTTCCCCAGTTATCATTTCATGACTCCTGTTTCAATTCTGGTCAATATCTCTGTAGTCACTTACAAACTTGCCTTCAAGTTTATTAAATTTCCGAGCCTTTCAAGTGACTGATGCGTTCTGTAACCAATGCTTTAGGTACTGCATGGTACTTTTTGCTGGTATTGCAGCTGAAGCTCTTGTTTATGGTGAGGCAGAGGGTGGAGAAAATGATGAAAATCTATTCAGAGGCATATGTCTTCTTCTTGACCCTCCATTGTCTGTAGCTGAGGTCTTCTCACAACTGATACATCTGGTTTGATGGTGTCGATTTATCTGTGATGCTGAATTTGAAACCTTGAATTTCTTGCATTGAACAGATGTCCAATCAAGCAAGATGGTCAGTTCTGCAATCCTATAATTTGCTCAAGTGGCATAGAGCTGCACACCGAGCTGCTGTTAAAGCATTGGAAAGTGGTGGCAGTCTGAGTGTTGTAATTAGGAGTGTCGAGGAGACTCTGTATTCTAAAAATTGAGCCTCAGAAGCTTCTATTAAAGCATTTTTTTTTCAAGTTGCTTGCAGGTTAGCCCTTCTTTTTGGTTTTTGGATAAAGGAATTATGAGTGTGCATGCTCAGTTTTATTTTTAATCTTTCAAGTACTTTGTTGTGTTCATTTTCTCTGGTGCAGGGTTCTTGTTATGGATCTGAAAAGAAGCTGCTTTTACTCGCATGTGTTCTATATAGCATATTTTGCAGATGGACCAGATCTGTTATGTTATGCCTTGTCTACCATGATAGACAGCAACAAAGGAATAATTTCTTCTGCAACAAGTGACCTTTTTGTCCTGAGGCTGGTTCCAACTTGCACACAATATTGTTAAATAAGTGATACCAATAGAGACAACGTCATCGTAAGAGTGGTACCTTATCTTCAGAGTAATTCTGAGCAGTACACAAGGCTGTGATTTTCACCTGCATTTTTACCTGTGGTAAATCAATCACGAGTCCTAGAAAAGGGTTTGTAAATAAATGTATAAAATATTACTAAAACTGAGCCATTTTTGGAAACTCAGTTTTTATTGACCTCTTTCCTGTCACGTTCCTTAATGGGAGTCCCTGGTCCCAACCTTTCATTATTATCCTGTTGTTAAAAATATAGCGAGTGGCTCTATCCCATGAATCAGTCACTTGAAAAGTATCGTAATTAAATTGCCAATTAATTTGGTATTTGAACAGTATGATTGATGACACGTTGAAAAATAATAGTGTGGGATTAACCCCACACTATTGTATGATGGCACGTTGAGCTATTGTTTTCTTTCATTTTTATTACACAACCACGCGGAACTTGGATAAAAGATTTGAGGCTGCCAAATTAAATTTTTATATATAAATTAAATATTTAATTAATTAAAAAAATAATAGAATTTTTTGTTTTTTCTACTCAAAATAAACATACATGATAATGAAATTTCAAAAAATATTATTATTCACTAGTCATTTCATAAAATAATCATACAAATATAATATTATATATATATATATAAGGGAGGTTATAATAATATCGGTGTAACTTTTACTGAGTATTACACCGCTTAATAATTTTATATTAAATATAAATTTTGTAAATTCAACCGTTAGATTGAAAGTTCTTATGTCTTAGATCATACATACAAATATTTATATTAATTCAAGATGATTTTATACTTCATTTTTATAAAACAAAATTGACGTAATATATTTATTTCAAAATACACTTAAATATGAACACTTTGATTATCTTTAAATTATTGTTTAATTTTAACAAAATTTGATATACACGTATAAAGTGATATGAACTTTCAATTTAATGGTTGAATTTATAAAATTTACAATTAATATAAAGTTATTGAGCGGTGTAATACTTAATAAAAATTATACCGGTGTAATTATAACCCCTTCTATATATATATATACAAATAAATTTTTTTTAGAAAAATTTGGGGGAGCCACACTAAGAAGGTCGGCCCCTGCAACCACTTGCTATAAGCTGTTGGGTGTTGTTATACCTTACACAGGGTATAAAAGAAATTGAGTTGAGGTTATTTTTTTGTTTTTACGATCATTAATGGTTTTAAGGTATCTATCTATAAAAAAATATAACGTAAGAATTACTTTAATATGCCTGATAAGTTGGTTTTGAATTTAAGGCTTAACCAAGTTTCTCTGGTTAATTTTAGCTTGTAACTAGTACAGAGCTAGGGGGACAAGAATCCTGCATCCCAAAATCTAGGCCTCAAAAGCTCACTAGAACATCACATTCCTTTACATTATTGGTTCTCAAATCTCAATCCAAGGTAATAGTAAAAGCCTTCGGTTTTTGTTTTTGGTAAATGGTGATTTATTCATTTAACCAATCACTATCTACCGTAAATAATAGTTGACTAATAATAATTACTTTAAAAATCAAACAACCTGTGACTTTTGACTGATATTTTTTACACTATCAGTACATAATCATTAAATTCTTTTATTTTTGCTGGTGTTTATTAAAATCCTTATTTAATGTTACCGCTGCCAGGTCTCCATCAATACATAGTTGACCATCAATATCAAAGAACAGAAAACACATTCTACCATAAATAGGGAGAACATGAAGTGCAGAATAGAAGCCAATATCCGCACTAAGCTGGTCCAACTATGGTAAATGCCAATCTGAGAGAGCTGAATCCCACGTGAAACTGAAGCATAAGTTACAATAAAGCTTTGTTAATTACTTGTTTTAGAGGAGACATGTAGCGCACGGGAATAATAAAACCTTACTCAAACATGGAAATGCATTGCACACGACACTGACATGCGTGATCTGAGTATAACAAAAAAGCAATATGAACACCACTCTTTACCCTGTGCATCACGAATCCTCGATGCCAGTTACTTGCTTTGAGCGAATCTTTGTGCAAGAGAGGACACTCAAACACGGAAATGCAAATGCATGCATTGCAACAACATTTAAGAGTACAGAAGAGAAAAAAACATAGAAGCAATTTCCGGTACAACATTTATATATAAGAAACTGATATAAGAATCAACAATCAGCAGTGAACCAAGCTCTTAAAAGGGGTTATGGCTTTGGCTTTCCAAAGAGAAGAAATGAGTATCTTAGATAACAAGACATTGGCAATAGTGTTGTTTATATTGCATCTTCTCTTAGCAGTTCTCTTGTTCCCTCTTTACATGCAACCAGAGCCCCCTGTGGTAGCTCTATGCTTAGGTGTCATCCCTTGCTTTGTCTTGGTTTATGCCACTATCATTTGGCGAGCCGGTACTGACATGCAAAAGGGCTATTTGTCACTATTTGAGAGTGAACTCAGTGAAGAAAAACTATGTTGAATTGTTGATTAGTATTTGACAGTTTGAGAAATTTGCACTATTCTATCTTCAAGTAGATGAAACTTTGCTCAAGTAGATAGTTGCGGATAGATAAGATATTATATTGTATGGAGAGCTTTGTAGAGAGTCAAGCTTATGTGAGGGGTGTTTTTATTCACCATCTCATCCTTTTGTGGTAGTTATCACTTTGCAGTGAATAATTTACTTGTACTTCTTCAAGGTTGGTTGTTTTTGTTTTTGGCATTTGAGCATGAATTTGGAGGTTACAATTGACATAAACTTCTTAGTATAGAATCTAGTTAATTAGTAGTTACAACATAGGGCATGTTTGCTCCATTCGCTTCTGTTCTTACCGGAGATCGGTCCTAGAGACGATCTGCTGGGCAAGATTGGTGAGCCTCCTTCGTTGGGTACACTTGTTGTTCCAGAGCGGGGGTGGTACCTGCAAAAGAGACTCTGATGCTAAAGTTAGTGTTTGTGGATGTGTGGGTCTCGTATAAGTAATGCACGTACCTTTGTGTGAATTAGGGTTTCTCTGGGTCTTGGGCCCGAGATCAATTACGGTCTGCTCAGATAATGGGCCTTTGTCTTGGCCGATGTTGTATAGCGCGCGTCCGATGTCAATCTGTGCTGTGATACCGAGCTCGAGCTCGGTTTCGCGGTACGGATAGTACACTAGCCCCCCGAGCTCTGAAGACTGCGAGTCGAAGAGTTAATACCGAGCTCGGTGAAGTGGCGTGACTTTTCGCGTACGCTCCTCTGTCAAGGTGCCAAGTGTCATAACCGTCACCTCGTTCTCCAAAGCGTGCGGGCAGCGTGTTAATGGGCACTGACGGTTTTGCAATAATAGTTGTACCCATCATAATGGGCTTCATTTAATGTCCATTATTTTTGTCGTTTCTCTGCCCGTGCCATGTCCGTTCACGTTTCCGTTTGAAATTTGGAGACTTCTTTTCTTTCTCCCTTTCGCGCTTCCTCTCATATTCACTTTACCCTTTCTTCTTTGGCGTGCTCTCGACGCTTCCACCTTCCATGCTCATTCTTTGTCTTCTATCTTTCTTGTCCCCGTCGTCGCCGTTGCCGAAAATCGGGTCTTCGACGGCAATCAGGTCCCCGTATTTCATCACTGTTCTGTCACTACCAAAGGAGTATCAGGTACTTCGTTCTCTCTGCTTTCTCTTCTCGTTCTTTCTCTCCGTCGGTCTCTCTTTTCTTCTTTCTTCGTCTTCCTCCTTTTTGTAGCCTTTTCTATTCTTGATGGTTGGTAATAGTGGTGTCGCATCTTCTACGCCGGCCAAGGACAAGGAAAAGGCGCACGACAAAGCGGTGGCCAACGAGACGGCTGCCGCTGAAAAGAAAAGGGGTGGGAAAAACCCTAAAGATTCCCACCCCGCCATCACCGTCCCGGGCTACGAGTGGGTCCGAGGGGACCTCGGAGAGTTTCAGAGTGTCTTTAAATCGTTTCTTGAGGTCAATGCGATGTGGAAATCGCATAGGATCTGCCAAGGATCCATTTCCAATCTCATCCGGCTCGAGCCTTGCCAGCCCGGCGAGCGTGTGTACATGCGGGGTACCTCGAATCCCCCCTTTTTCTATGTGTACCAGTGTTTTTTTAGGGATTTAGGTGTATGCCTACCCTTCACTCAGTTCGAGTGTGATTTTTTGAATTTTATCAATGCGGCTCCTTGCTAGCTGCACCCTAATAGTTGGGGTTTTTTGAGGGCTTTTCAAGTCCTGTGCTCCACCCTGGGGATAGGGTTGTCACTGCCCGCGTTTCTCCATTTTTACCAGTTGAAGTTGGGTGACCCTCCCCTAGGGTGGGTGTCGTTGAACGGGAGTAAGGCTTGGGGATTATTCTCGCTTTACTCCAATTTGTATAAGGGCTTCAAACAGGAGTTCTTCCGAGTTTTGCCTAAGGAGGTCAACCCGTTAAAAGATGAGGTGTTCCACTTCGGCGGGGAGGTTCCCCTTTACTGGTAGCAGGATCCGATCAAGTTCAACGGGTCAGCCAATCTTCAGTTGAGGACCTCGAATACTGCTGTCATTACTGATTTGACCGTGCTTCCTCGTCTTTTGGATTGCAAGCTCGTTCTGTCGCTTGCTAATTCGGCATACAATGAGAGGGGTTTAGAGAGTGAGTATCTCGTCATCCTTAGTTGTCAAGGCTTTTTTTGTTTTCTTTTTTCTTATGCATTTTGCTTTTATGCTTGCAGGTATAATGGGAAAGAGCAAGTGGTGTGAGCTGAAGTCCCGCTACAATGTGGCTGAGATCGAGGTCCCCGAGCCTCTGGAGGAGGAGGTTGCTCCTCTTGAAACTCGCAAGAAAAGAAAAAGGGGAGGGAAGGAGGTCAGGGGGACCTCCGCCCCTCGTGACGTTGAAGAGGTGACTTCGAAGGCTGTTGATGCCGACACGGTCGACCTAACTAGAAGTCCTCCTCCTGAGGGATCATCCCGAGCTGCTGTGGAGGAGGTTGCTCATGAGGCCCAGGTTTTTATTTTTTCTCTTGTGGTTTTTCTTCCACGTCGTGTGATTTTCTTGTTATAATAACTTGGAGAATTTTTGTTCTCTGTGTAGGTGGGGTCTGTGTCGACTACCACCGAGGCTCGAGTGGAGCCAAGCTCGGAGGCACCAAGGCCGGATGCTTTAGTTGCTGCGCAGGTGGCGCCTTCCTCAACTCCCGCCGAAACCCGTGGAGGGGGTCCAAGCTCTAGGTTGCCGTCTCTGACCCCGGGGGCCGCCGTGCCGCCTCCACCTCCGCCAGGGGCTCCAAAGGGGAAGTGCATCGTACAGAGCTTCGACACTACTCGCCCCCTAGCGAGGTTGGACCATGTGAGCATGTCGTCAGACGTGGACTCCATGTGGAGCTCGGGGGTGACTGCTGAGCAATTCTACCCGCGAGGTTCTCTCCACCAGGCCGACAAGGCGATCCTCGAGAAGGTCGGGGCAGTGGAGGGCTTAGACTTTGCGGAGGTCTTCATACAGAGGTCGATCACGATCGTGGATCACTGGAAACACAAGTGGTCGAGGTTGTAAGGGGAGCTAGAGAGCGCCAGGAGCCGAATCCAGCCTTTGGAAGAGGAGAACAAGGTAGGGGCCGCTCTCGACGAGGCCAAGAGGTAGAACGAGGCTGAGCTGCAAGCCACAAGGAGGGATCTCGCAAGGGCTCAGAAGTCTTTTGAGATCGCCTTGAGGGCTAATGAGGTCTACGCTGCCCAGGTTGGCTAGCTTCAGGAGGTCTCTACTTTTGCCCGAGGACGGGTGCGTTCCTTGGAGGACGAGGTTACGGCTCTGAAGGCTGAACTAGAGGAAGCGGATGAGAGGCGTCTCTGTGACGAGGTGCTTCTTGGTGGCAAGGAAGAGGAGGCCAATGCCTTGAGAGCAGATCTTGATAAGCTAGTCGCGTCTAAGGCGGAGCTAGAGAGAAAGCTCGTCGAGACTGAGCGAGCTATTTTGTTTGAGCATAAGAAGGGCTTTGTCAAGACAGCTGGTCAGGCGAGGTTTCTTGCACCTGGGGTTGACCTTTCTGCCATGCATGTGGAGAAGGAGGTGCAAGCTGGGAGGCTCGTAAAAGAAGACGACCTTACTGACAGCTTGAGTGAGAACACGACTGCTTAGGCCGCGGTTTTGTAATGACTTAGTTTATTTCGTTCATTTTTCTTTCTCTCTGAACTTCTTCTTTGTATTGGTGAACTTGTTGTGTACATAATTTGCTTATTTGCACCACTGTTGGATTTTTTGCATTTTTTCAATATTATTTGCTTGATTTGCGTTCGTCCCGAGGTTCAGTCTTGACCTTGGTTAGTTATAGTATAACTCGTATCCAGGTTCGCATTTGACCCTTGTTTTACATAATGTGATTCGCATTAAGGTTCGAATTCGACCTTAACTTAAGATTTTGTACCAAGGTTCGAACTCGACCTTGGCTTAAGATTTCGTACCAAGGTTCGAACTCAACCTTGGCTTAAGATAAAGTGATTCATACCAAGGTTCAAATTCGACCTTGGCTTAACATAAAGTAATTCGTACCAAGGTTCGAACTCGACCTTGGCTTACCATAAAGTAATTCGTCCCAAGGTTCGAACTCGACCTTGGCTTAACATAAAGTGATTCGTACCAAGGTTCGAATTTGACCTTGGCTTAGCGTAAAGTGATTCGCATCAAGGTTCGAATTCGACCTTGACTTAGCGTAAAGTGATTCGCACCAAGGTTTGAATTCGACCTTGGCTTAGAGTAGTGTGGTTTGTACCAAGGTTCGAATTCGACCTTGGCTTGTCATAATGTAATTCTTGCCGAGGTTCAAATTCGACCTTGGCTTAAGATAAAATGATTCGTGCCAAGGTTTGAATTCGACCTTGGCTTCTCATGATATGATTTCTGCCAATACGGTATAAAATTAAGAGAATATGAGTGGAATGAGTCACTTTTATTGATGCTATGGGTATGCCTCGTTAAAACCCTTCTCAGCTAAAACCCATTTTTCTATTTTTTGGGACAAAAGACTGAGTCGGGAAAATAGTGCACAACCTATTTGTACATTTTCAGCTAAAGTAAAACTTGAGATGCGTGGCATTCCAAGTTCATGGGATGGCTTTGCCGCTGAGCTCTTCTAGTTGGTACGCCCCATTTTCTAAATCTTCTGTGACCCGAAATGGGCCATCCCAGTTAGGCGCGAGCTTCCCTTCTGACGAGTCTCTTCGTGCTTCTCCTAGTAGTCGTCATACCAGGTCGTCGACCCAGAAAGAGCGAGGTCGGACCCGCGTGTTATATCTTCTGGAAGCCCGAAGTTTGCAGGCTTCCTCATGGATCCGAGCTTCCTCTTTGAGCTCGTCAATTAGGTCAAGGTTGACCGCTGCTTCTTGAACATTTTGCTCATTGTCGAAGACACGACGTCGATGAGATGTCTCGCCGACCTCCACTAGGATCATGGCATCAGCTCCAAAAGTCAACCTGTAAGGCGTTTCCTGCGTTGTTGACTGGGGGGTACAGTGATATGCCCAGAGGATGCTAGGGAGCTCGTCTACCCATTGTCCCTTGGCGCTTCCTAGCCACTTCTTGAGTTCTCGGAGTATTACCTTGTTCGCGGCTTCGGCTTGGCCATTGGTTTGGGGATGCTCTACCGAGGTTGGGAGATGTTTAATTCTGAGCTCTCAGAGGAAGTCTTCGAAGCTTTGTGCGATGAACTGTCTGCCATTATCACACTAGTGGAAAATTAGTATATTATGTCACCTCTTCAACGTCGGACACACAAATCCGACGTAAAAAAGATGTGGTGGCATTTTTGTAATTTTTGCGAACTTTTTTACGTCAGACCTGGTAGGGTCCAACGTAAAATGTCAAATCTACGTCAGATGTATGTTGTGTGCGACGTAGATTTGACATTTTACGTCGGACCCTACTAGGTCCAACGTAAAAAAGTTCGCGAAAATTGAATAAGAGAGTGTGAGGCACACCGCGCGCATTCACTCTTCATCACTTTTCGTTTTTTCTCTGTAAACCCTCTCCCTCTCCTTTTTTACTGAATCGTTTTTTTGTCTTTTGCAGAGTGAGGTGAACTCTTTGTTACTCATTCGCACACTGTTGCAGCTCATCAGGTATGAATCAAGGTTTCGTTAACATTTTTTTGCTTCGCATTGTTATTGTGGCTATCTGTTTTATTCAATTTTTTGGTTGTTCTATTTGTATAGGTCGTTGGCCTTTTCTTTTGGTTGTTCTACAAAGCAGAACGGCCCGTTTTGTTGCACTCGTTATGTTTTTTTTTATACTTTTTTTACGTTGGACCTTGGTAATGTCCGACGTAAATTTACGTCGGTTTTACAGGGCCGACGTAGATTTACGTCTCCCGCATTAATGTCGGTATTTTTTCCAACGTAAAAAGCTCAAAATAACCGACGTGGAATACCTCTTTTGTACTAGTGTCAGTGACGAGAGAATGCAGGATCCCAAACCTGCAGATGATGCTTTTCCAGGTGAATTTCTGGACATTCTCGGCAGTGATCTTGGCCAGTGGATATGCTTCGATCCACTTGGTGAAGTAGTCGATTGCCACTACGAGGAAAAGCTGACCCTTTGCGGGGGGAAATGGTCCGAGAATGTCCATTCCCCACTGGGCGAAAGGCCACGGCGACATCATCTGGTGGAGATGTTTGGGCGGTTGCTGATGTACGTTGTCAGACTGCTGACATTCCTTATACTTTTGTACGTAAGCTTGGTAATCTGACTTCATTGTGGGCCAGTAGTACCCAGCCTGGAGTACTCTGGTTGCCATCGAGCGGGCCCCAGAATGTATACCACATATCCCTTGGTGGATCTCCTCGATGACATAGGTGGCTTGGGACCTCGCTAAACATTTCAACAAAGGAGTAGAGATGTCGCGTTTAAATAGTTCTTCTCTAACGATGACGAACTTAGCTGACCTCAATCTCATCTTCTGAGCTTCATCTTTATCCTCGGGTAGAGTTTCGTCCTTTAGGTAGTTCCAAATACCCGTCATCCATCCCTAGTCTTTGCTGTCATTAGCGTTGACGACCTTGTTGTCCAGGCTGGGTGAATTCAGAGTCTCTTGTATGATGGTCCGATGTTGCTCGGGGCGTTTTGTGCTGGCGAGCTTAAATAGGAGGTCGGCTTTGGCATTCTGCTCCCGGGGTACATGGTGTATTGTGAACTCATCGAAGGACGAGATATTTTGGGATGTTGTATGGAAATACCTCTGCAAGAGGGTGTCCTTGGTCTGGTATGCCCCGCTAAGTTGCTCCACCGTGAGCTTTGAGTTGCTGTTGCAACTCACTCTCTACGCTCCGAGGTTGTGAGCCAACCTCAGCCCTACCAGAAGTGCTTCATATTCTCCTTGGTTGTTGGTCACCTTGAAGCCAAATTTGAGAGATTGCTCTATGGTGACCTTATTCAGTCCCTCCAAAATGATACCTGCAAAACCACCCTTAGAGTTGGAGGATCCATCGATGTGTAAAGTCCATACTTGTTGTTCCTCAGCCGAGGTTGGGGTGAGTTCGACCACGAAATATGCTAGGTATTGAGCTTTTAAGGGGCTGCAACTTTCATATTTGATGTCGAACTCGGACAGCTCTACTGACCATGCTATTATTCATCCGACAAGCTTTGGTTTTCTCAAGATCTGCCTGATCGGGTAGTCAGTTTTGATGACCACCTGGTGACTCTGAAAGTAAGGTCGGAGGCGCCGAGCTACGGTGACGAGTGCTAGTGCAAGCTTCTCGATCATTTGATACCATTTCCGTGTCTTGCAGGACCTGACTGATAAAGTAGATCGGTGTTTGCACTTTCTGGTGCTTTTGTACTATGATTGCGCTGATCGCGCCTTCTGCCACGGCCAGGTAGAGGAGGAGGTCGGCGTGATGATCCGGCCTTTGAAGGACTGGTGGAGTCGTGAGGAAGACTTTGAAGCTTTTGAAGGCCTCTTCGCATTGGTCAGTCCACTCAAAGTTCTTCGACTTTCGCAGTAGGGTGAAGATGGGCCCTACTTTCTCCACCAACCTAGGGATGAAGCGGGAAAGGGAAACTAACCTTCCTGCCAGGCGTTGGACGTCCTTCACGGTATGGGGGCTCTACATCTGGATAATGGCTTTGCATTTCTCCGGGTTGGCTTCAATGCCCCTACTGGTGATCATGAAACCAATAAATTTACCTCCCTGGATGTCGAAGACACACTTCTCTGGGTTAAGGCGCATGTTGTGTTTTCTGATCTGGCTGAACACCTCGGCCAAGTCAGCGGCATGAGCCTTGGCTGACAATGTCTTGATGACCATGTCGTCCACATATAGCTTCATGTTCTTTCCAATTTGCTGCTGGAATACCTTGTCCATCAGACGTTGGTAAGTGGCTCCAGCATTTTTAAGGCCGAAGGACATCATGCGATAGTAGAAATTTGCATGGTCGGTGATGAAAGTTGTATGCTCCTCGTCTGGTGGGTACATCATGATTTAGTTGTACCCGGAGTAGGCATCTAGGAAACTAAGGAGGGTGTGGTCGGAAGCGTCGTCAACCAACTTGTCGATGCTCGGAAGGGGGTATGAGTCCTTGGGGCACGCCTTGTTAAGGTCGGTGTAATCAACGCACATACGCCACTTCCCCGAGTTCTTCTTGACTAGTACCACGTTTGCTAGCCACGTGGTGTACCTGACCTCGCGGATGAAGCCCGCGTTCAATAGCTTTTGTGTCTCGGCTATGATAGCTTCTCGCCTTTCACCGCCGACCTTTCATTTTCTCTGGGCTACTGGTTTCACCTCTCTGTGGATTGCCAACTTGTGACAGATAAAGTTAGCATCTATACCTGACATGTTGGCGCTGGACCATGCAAAAAGGTCGGCGTTCTTGGAGATTTCGGCTTTAATTTGTTGTCGTAGCTCCGGGTTTAGCTGTCGGCTTATCTTTGTGCATTGTCCAAGGAATTTACTGATCTGGAGGTCATCAAGCTCATCAATGGGACTTGGCCATTCGTCATGGGATTCTGACCTTGGATCCAGGTCGGGGATGTCCACCTGGGCTATGTGGGCTACTGTAGGAGGGTCACTTTGGTGGTGCTCCTCAGATGGCGAGACCTTCAAGCTTTCAGCATAACATTGCCGAGCTATCTTTTGATTTGCTCGGACGGAGACGATCTTGCCACTACTCTCTGGGAACTTCATCGTCAGGTGTGGGGTAGACACTACGGCTCCGAGCTGGTTCAGTGTAGGTCTGCCGATGATGATGTTGTAGGATGTGGTGGTCTCCACGAGGAGATATCTGACCATGATCCTCTTTGAGACATGAGGGGACCCAAAGGCTGTCAGCAGATCCACGTACCCTCGAGTGTGAACTCGTTCGCCTGCAAAACTAACTAGGGGTTCTATGTGAGGTTGAATAAGGGAGTGGGGGATGTCTAACCTTAGGAACGTCAGCCAGTATAGGACGTCAGCCAAACTTCCCTGGTCGATCAATGTTTTGTGGACTTCTCAGTTGGTGACTTCTACGGTGATGACCATGGGATCATCCTGGTTTAGGCAGATGCTGGTGTAGTCGTCGTCGGTGAAGGTGATTGGTGGTGTGTTGTGGTGCGGGGCTGAGGTGGTAGAATGGACATTGTTGATCTTGCGCAAATATCGTTTGCGCGCCGAGCTGCTGGAGCCTCCTCTTGTGAAGCCACCTGTAATTGTGTTGATAACTCCTCGCAAGGGAGTTGACCCTGTATCCTAACTCACCTCGGTCTGCACTGCGCTGCCAGTGTTTTGCTGAGAACCGAAGGGTTGGTCCGTGCGAGTCCCGGAACCTCAGCCTCGTCCTCGTCTTCGGCCGTGGTAGCCTCCTCTGTGACTTTGCTACCGTTGGACGTATTGTCCGAGGTGCCCCCTGGATGAGTTCCTCTATGCGATCCTTGAGTGTGTGGCACTCCTCGGTCGTGTGGCCATAGTTTCTATGGTACCGGCAATGTTTAGATTTGTACGCACTGTTGGGACTGTGTCCAGGTGGTGGCAGGGTGAACAGATTGTTGTTGCTGGCCTCCTCCAGGATGTGTACTCAGGGTGCGTTTACGGGGGTGTAGAAGTCATACCTCCCCCCTTTATTTGCCCTAGCAGCCTTCTTGAATTGGCTATCATTGGTGACCTTCATCTTGTCTTTGTGGTCGTGGTCCAGCTTCGCCTGTGATTTTCCACGAGCTTGGTCGCGAAAAGTAAAGTGCTCTTCCATCTGAATGTACCTTGCAGCTCGGGCACAGAGTTCGTCCATATCCAGGGGAGATCGTCGACACAGGCTATCGACGAATGGTCTTGGGCTGAGCGCCATGAGCATGGCGTGTAGGGTGACCTCGGGGTTCAAGTTTCGGATCTTAATCGAGATGCTGGCGAAGCGCTCCATGAACTCCCTCAATGGTTCGTCGTCGCCCTGTCTGAGACTAGCCAAGGCGGTTGATGTGACGTGGTGAGGTTGACTCGTTGCATACTGTTCTGTGAATCGTCTCACCAGAGTGTCGAAGTTGTCAATTGATCCTGCTGGCAATTGGGTATACCAGGCGAGTGCTACTCCCTTGAGCAAGGTCGGAAAAACCTACACAAAATAGCATCCTTATTAGTGTATAGGTTTACCTGTGTGACGTACAGATCGATGTGCTCGTCTGGGTCGGCAGTGCCATCATAACGGTCGATGTTGAGAGGCTTCCATCCGAAAGGAAGGGGCGTCTCCATGATACCGTCGACAAAGGGATGGCGGCGGATGCTTGCCCTATGCCCTAGGGATTGAGCAGGCACATTGCTGACTTCATGGTCTGACCTGTTCGTTGGCACGTGTGACCGATGTACAGTAGACCTGTGGGTAGGTGCCTTTGGTGCAATCGGTGGCTGGGAAACCGAGTGTCCCTCTTCGTCGTTCTGATTACTCGGTTGAGGGGGTTGATCAGAAGGGTGTCTGGGAAGCTGAGCGCAAATGTGCTCATTCTCGGCACGTAGCACCGCTAAGTCAGTTTCGTGTCGAGCACGGATGATCTCCAGGTCAACGACGTGTTGTTGTCGCATTTGCTCGACCTGTTCAATCAGTCTTCTTAATGTTGCTTCACCTTCCATTCTTGTTGCGCGATCTAGGTCATCTGTTGCTCTTCTACTATGGCTTCGGATGAAAACCATAAGCGTGGCCGATAAGAGATGTCTTGATCGGCCCCATAGTGGCGCCAAATGTTCTTACCGGAGATCGGTCGTAGAGACGATCTGCTGAGCAAGATTGGTGAGCCTCCTTCACTGGGTACACTTGTTGTTCCAGAGCAGGGGTGGTACCTGCAAAAGAGACTCTGATGCTAAAGTTAGTGTTTGTGGATGTGTGGGTCTCGTATAAGTAATGCACGTACCTTTGTGTGAATTAGGGTTTCTCTAGGTCTTGGGTCCGAGATCAATTTCGGTCTGCTCAGATAATGGGCCTTTGTCTTGGTCGATGTTGTATAGCGCGCGTCTGATGTCAATCTGCGCTGTGATGCCGAGCTCGAGCTTGGCTTCGCGGTACGGATAGTACAGCTTCTAAACAGCTATTAATGGGAGAACTGAGAGATGTGATGCAGATAGAAACACTTGGAAGAAATTGCTAGTAACATTGTCTCAATTAGAAATAAAGGGTACACAGTACACTATGAAAGACTGAATTTTTCAACAATTGAGATTTGGTTTAGATTATACAATTTTAATTTTGATCTAATTGTTTATGCAGTTATCCTATCCACTTGCTAAATTTTTTGTGGAATTAATATAGTATCTTAGGATACAGATTGAGGTCAAGTAAAATATCCTTTAGCTTTGTCTTTTTTTTTTCTTCATGCCTATGAAGCACCGATACTTCAATTTGCTTCACGTATCTGTATCCGATACGTATCCGACACGATACTCTTGTATACTTCACCGATACGTGTCAATGAAGTATCCTAGCCTTTAAAAATATTATGAAAATTTTATTCAATTCTGATATTTCATCGATACTTATTGGTGATACGTATCGATAAAGTATTCAAATTTTTTAAAAATTATGAAATGTCCATTACAGTTAAATAAGATATATAAAAATATTTAATATAAAAACATAGAAATATTGGTCCTTGATGAACTGAAAATGAAAATTGTCTTCTATATAGATAATTTTAAGAAAGGAATGAAATTAGTAATATTATTTCTATTTATAAATAATAAAAAGTAATTTATGATGAAATAATTTATAATTTATTTATTTTTAGTAATGTACAATAAGTATGTTTTTAATTTGGATTTGCAAAATAGCAATTATATATTTAATGTTTATGAATTATGATCAAAATTACAAGTACACAATTATTATATTGTATGAACATTGATATATATAATGACACGTATCTTATAAGTATCGTATCTTATATATTTTAAAATAATTGTATCATCGTATCGAATACGTATCGTATCTGATACGCGTATCGTATCGGTGCATCATAGCTTCCTGCTTACTAGTTACTACTTAGTACTTACTACTATAATTCTTGAACTTCACCAAGTTATATACTGAATTTCATTCCTCTAGATGCATTAATTTTTAAGTATATAAATGCTTTAATTATTGACTCTAACAACTGTGATCTTTTCTTTGGATGCCGCATAAGGGAGTGTTCACACCTTCTCTTTAGAGATGCCCTTATAAGGATCTATAGTGTTGTTAATCTTGTGACAAATGTAAAGATGAGAAAAAAACAAATAAAGTATATATGTTCTTTTCCTACTGTCTTATAGCTCACATTATGACATTGTATCTAAGGAGGGTTAATGGCTGTAGTCATGGCTGAGCTTGGGGATTAGGCGATGTCAATTTTAATATTCGGAAAGAAAATAGATTATATGATTTGAATCCTTGACTACTAGCATGTTTGAAATCCTCATTCATATGAAAATTTGTTATTGTTGTCATTTGTTTATTCAAAAGAGGCTGGTACATAGGGTGGTTTCTTTTCCTTGGGGAAGAGGGTAATTAATAACATTAAATTTACAAAGGAAAAAAAAGTGTAAACTCTATAAGCGACTACCAGCTGTAGAATTCTATATATGAGGCACATGGTGGTCGAGTTACTACAGTTGCAGTATCTGAGTGGGTCTACTGGTTTTGCTGCTTTTGGAGTCTAGGAGTGAAGTTCTGAAGGACGACATGGCAAAACGTTTTTCTTGTACTTTGCATACTTTGTTCTTTTAGTCCCACATCGAGCAATTATCTTATATGAGTAAAGTCTATATACGGTTGGTGTACATTAGAGTTTGGCCAAGTTTGAAAGATTCTTATCAAACATTCAAACTGAAACTCTCTCACTTGGCCTTTTAAATTTTAAATCTTTATTTATAACTCATTCTTACAGAAATTTCATTTCATATTTTTTTTTTATCCATGTGAACTGGCATTAATAAATTACGAATTTTCACCTTGAAAACAAAACCCAGCTTATAATTGGATAATTTTATTCCAAATTGATAACTAAATTAAACCCTAAGTTTTTTATAAAAACAAACAAACTCATGTACTAGAATCTGACTAGATTCAACATATTCCAAATCTAACAATTATAATACCATCAATTTTCAAATGTGGTCATTTTGCTTGCAGAGATGGTTTAAGACACGAGTCGTTATTCATTTTACAAAATATTCAATTCAATTCATTTTAATATTTTAACACTTTATTCCACTTTGAGAATGGCATTACTTGATAAAGTTGTAAGCTTTCTCAAGGGAGAGAAGAAAAAGAATACAAGTAACAACATCTATAGTTATAACAAAGCAAAACTAGACAATTGATTCAACTTAAAGTCTATCCTTGACAAGTGAAGTTGATCCTATAATGATTTTAAAGAGATCTATTCTAAGAGAACAAATGCCTTGTGACAAAAATCATACACTAAAAAACAATCAATAAAGAGAAAAAAAATTAAAAAAAAAGTGTACAAAGATGGAGTTGGTCATTTTCATATGTTCTTCTAAAAAAAAAAGTGTCACAAGTAGACAAACATACATCTACTAAAAACTTAAAATTGTGCTTAAAGTAAAGACTTAAATTAATCTTCAACATTATTTATTTTTTTTTTAAAAGAAAAATGCTATGTTCTTCTAAAAAATGTGTCACAAGTAGACAAACATACATTTACTTAAAACCTAAAATTCTTCTTAAAGTAAAGACTTAAATTAATCTTCAACATTCATCAACAAATTAATCTTCAAAATTATTTATTTTTTAAAATGCCAAAATACTATGATCTTCTAAAAAAAAAGTGTCACAAGTAGACAAACATACGTCTACTGAAAACTTAAAATTCTGCTTAAAGTAAAGTCTTAAATTAATATTTAACTTTTTTTTAAAAGTAAAATAATTTATCAAAAATAAGATGGTCATGATAAAAAAAACTAGTTATCTATTCAAAGACCTATTATAAACAATAGTTTACTAATATAAAGATAAACTTGAGTTAATTGAGATTTCAGAAAATCCTCATTCGTCATTAATTTTTATAAAGTTTCATTTATTTTATACGATGTTTGGTCAATAAAAAAAGAGAAAAGTAAAAAATTTTCTTATTTAATTTTAGTTCTCCACTAATATTTAGAGGATTTTGAAAGACATGAATTTAAACACATAATGTTGTATTATATTAATAATTTAATCTAGTTTATAGGTCAAATTTAAATATGCAAATCACAAACACAGGATTTTCCCTAATAAGGAGTCTCCTCCTTCCACAGAACCTGGGAAAAAAAAATTTTATCATCTCCCCTACTAAGGTTTATAGTTTGATTGATCATTATTTTAATTTATCTTTTGATTTAAAAATTATTTTAATAAATGTTATATATATATATATTAGTTTTATTGACCAAGGAGAATTTCTTTAAGTTTTTTTTAAACATAGGATATGTTGTATGGGTTAATTAGTGGCAAAGTACTACTTTAAATAAAATTGAAATTTAACAAACATATAATGTATAAATAGATTAATTTAGCCTCACTATTTGATAGTTCTTTGGCATCTAATTTTGACGGTTACACAAACTTTTAACAATTGTTTCTATCAAATTTAAATTTGAATGAAGATGTACAACAACATGAGACAATTGTTGAATTGAAACAAGAAATTGATAAACCTGAATGTCAATAATGAGACTCTCCATGTAATAGGAAACTCCACCTTGTGAAACTAGAAACCATTATAGAGAATAATTTATATTTTTTATAATAAGATTTTTACTATTTTAATTAATCTATTGGTATATTATATGTTTATTAATTTTTAATCAATTTTTATAAATAAAACACTGTAAGAATATTTTTATTTTTTAAGATTTTTTTCTTTAATTAAAAAGATTTTACTCATCTTTATATTTAATATAATTTTTATTTATCATAATTATTTATTAATTAAAATTTAATATTTTAAATTTAATTATCAATAAAATAACAATAATTTGATACTACAATATAAATTCTTTATCACAAATATAAAAGATAACTTATACAATTAAAAATATCTGCTTATTTAAATTTTAAATATAATTTATATATTCAACATAATATTATTTATATATACATATTTTAATTTAATTTTTAATTATATATAATAAATATTTAATTTATGTTTTACACATTTTAAAATACTAGTTTTATTAAAGTAGTAATTTATCACCAATAACCCATAAAATAGTTATATTTAATTACTAATTAATTCTTTACTAGTGGAAACAAAACTTATGTGCCTCCCAAAAAAATTTATTTATAATTTATATGAATATTATAAATTATATATAATTATTTAGATAAAATAAAAGTGGAGATTACGATACACCTCGCGTCTTTTATAAATACACCTTTTATCTCTTTTTTTACAAATAAAATTTCTGAAATATCCTTCTAATTCAATTCTTATTTTAAGCTTTATTTTTAAAGTTATTTTTCATTCATCTCCTCCTCCTCCTCCTCCTCCTCCTCCTCCTTAAATTACATTTGACATCTATAAGTATTTTAACTTGTTTAATATTACTTGTGCACAACAAAAATAAATAAATAATTAAAATTTTGGCATTATTTG